AAAAAAAAAAATGAAATCTGGTCATCCTCCCCTCCCCGTACAGGTCGCCGCCGCAGGCTCGAGACCGAAGCGGTGTTTTTGGGCCACCGAAGTCGTACAAGAATGTTCGACTGTGAATCAGGGCCATCGGAGTCGTCCGTGCAAGCCGCCGCTCGAGTTCACATACCGGGTTTACTTGAGACGTGGCAGCTCGCGCAAGCCATTTGGCGGAGGAGCAGAAGGCTCACAATAGAGAAATGCACATATAGAGGAGAAAACTAAAAAATGCACATGTTGAGAAAGATAACAAAAAGACTGGTGGGCGAGAGATTTGAACTAACATTGTATCTTCTTTATGTATTGTGCCATCTCAAAGACTACACCACACTGCCAATTACTGTCTAGTAGCCAGAGACAAAATATAAACGTAAACAAATAAAAAATTATAAACCGTTGATTTTTTTGTTCGTTTCGTGCCTGTGTTAGAGTAGTTTTTTAAGCCCCCATTAGTGTCGGGAAACCTCTGTAGATTCAACTGGACTACTTGTTGTCTAATTGTAATTATGCGAAAATAAAAACCTATTATTAAAAAAAAAATAGATAATATGACCTTATAAAAAACCATAAGAAAAAAAGATCTATATTAACATAAAGAGGTGAAAAATACTAAATAGTAAGTTTGATTTAAAAAATAAAATCATCTCTAGATTCAACTAGACTAGGTGTTGTCTAATTGTAATTACGTGTTATTGTTGTAGCAAGTGGAATAACCACTATTAATAAATCATTTACCTTGAAGTGTGTGCCAAAAATTTTGCCTATAAAAAGGAATCTTCAGCATTGTAAATTTTGTACGAAAAAGAAGGAAGAAAGAAAGAAAAGAAAGCAGCTTATATTTTGTTCTGGTTTCTATACATTGTGTTCTTTATATCGCTCGCATTTTATAACACGTTATCAGCACGAGCGCTCTACCCGGTCAAGAAAGGTAGGATATATATACATATTACAATTATTCTTGACAAGTTAGGCTCTGCCACAGTCAAGGATATATATACATTTTACTATTATTTTTGACAAGTTAGGCTCTGCCACAGTCAAAAATACATATATATATTACCATTATTCTTGACAAGTTAGGCTCTGCCACAGTCAAGATATGTATACTAAATATGATATTATCTACACATTACCATTATTATTGGCAAATTAGGCTATGCCATAGTCAATAATATGTGGTGATATGATATTTGCTTATGAATTATTATTCAAGTTATAATAAATGTTATTACTTATACTTAACACCCACAAAAATGGTTTACCCAGTAATGTGGCGTGAAATTTATAACTGTTTATTCTTGTACTTACCGTAAAATTTATCAAATAATGTGGACATTTTTTTTACTTGCTTTGTTATATTCGCGAAAATGTTCATCAAATAATTCGGAAAAATCTTTAAGGTAATATACATGATTAATTAGAATTTTATGATCATAAATGATTAATT